GAAATAGCCGTGGATCTAGGGCCCATTTTGCACATTTTGAATTTTTATTTGTCGTTTCATTTGACATTGCTGTAGAAGTTTCGGTGAGGCCTCCGTACTTCATTGTATTTTCTAGAAAACATATATTAAAATATTTCTCTGACATTACACCAACCTCTGTTTCCCTTGAAAGAACGACTAATTTGCCACATGCTCATGTGTCATAGAGCTCCATATGCAAATTAGTTAGGAAAATAAGAGCGTTTGCACGGATCCTTTGAAAACCGCTACTTTTCCCATGGCCAGGAAGGAGATAAAATGCCAACCCTACAGCAAAAAAAGAAAAATTGTGCGTACATACGCCTTATTTAACGTAACACCATATGAAATATACATATAAGAAAAATCTGTAACGCCTTATTTACCATAACACCATATGAAATATACATATAAGTAAAATCTATAAACTAAGTACTTTTGTAAGCGGACTTGACAATTTTAAGTGGTTAAAGACAATATGTTTTGTTTTATAGACATATTATTCATATAAAACCAACAAAAAATGGTTGGTGCTGTGCGCCTCACCTCCTTAACTTAAATATCGCGAATTAAAACATTGTTCGAGGCGGGGTTTAGGCCGCACGTCCGGAGGTTTCCTGTCTCGTGACGACGTCCAATCCCCGAAGTGAAGAACCCAGGGGTTCAGTGGAGGTGGGAGACTTGGTAACGTAATGAACGGTTTAATTACATGGTAGCGATACAGTCGTCAAATCCAAGAGAGAACAACGGAGCAGCCTCGCGCTCCGCCTTATATAGGGTCCGTTTCTCCCTCACTCCTTGCCAGGGCAGCCCGTGCGATGCAGCAACCCGTCGTCCAGTGTGACGTAGCCAAAGGTCTCAGCAGTTAGGCCATGCCTCTCTCCCTTTCCCGAGCGCACCAACCACCACGCACACACACACACGTCCCGCTAACGTCACGGGCGCGTTGAGACTTGTTGCCGCAGGCCCCGTCACGCAGGCGACGGTCCCGGACTCGTCGGGACTCGTTTCGCGCAGGCCCCGACAAGCGGGCGACGGTCCCGACAAGCGGGCGACGGTCCCGGACTCGTCTTGACTTGTTTCCGCAGCGTTGAAACTCGGAAGAAGGTCGCCGAAGGTTCCATTCTTAACAACATGTTTAGATACAGTGGAAGCAAAGCGATGCCATTTATGGGCCATGTGAAAGGGAAAATATAGCGAGCCATGGCTGTGCATTCTTTGGTAAAAATGCCTATATACTGTATACTCCGTATATGCACTAACAGAGCGCAAAAGTGATGAATATCTTGGTCTGTAGTAAAAGGAGTATGCAGAACGAGGATTATCTGACTACAGACTAGCACTTGTCCTGTATACTTCTTGTCCTTGGCTTTTTTGCGCTATTTTATACGTTTAACTGACTACAGACTCTTACGTGGGTTATGAGTATGATTCTACTTGGACTCACCACGGAGGAAGCTGACGAAATGTGAATGGATATTGGAAAATAACGGGTTCACTGAGACCGGTCCACGGAAAATGAGCTTTGAAATGTAGTGATTCTTTAGCGAGCTGTACTGATGATCGTCATCGCTGCGTCCTTTGGGTCATACGGGGCTGGTGAGGCCCAGAGTGCTATGACAGCAGCTCACAAAATGGATGCCAGCTACCGAATGTTCGAAATAATTACTGCGGACAAAAAAATTGCTATAATAAAATGGTTAACTACTTAAAAACTCCAATATGTAGTCGATCATATTCGAATGTAGCCTACATTCGAATATGATCGACTACATATTAGAGTTTTTTAGTAGTAAACTTCAAGCAAACTTTACAAATGGTTATGTTTATAACTTGTACGTTCTAACCAAATGTCGGCCGTAACCAGATGTGTTGTAACAGGCGTATATTGTAATACGTCTATACGGTTCGGTGTTTTCGGATAAATCCGAAAAAAAAAAAAAAAACTCAGAAAAACATTTGCCGGGAAAATTTTCGTCAACTCGGATTTATCCGATAAACTCAAAAACATTCAATAAATTCAAGCAAAAAAAAAAAGTATTTAACAGTTTAGTTTGGACTCCGCGCAGGGTCAATGGTCTTGAGAAAATGTCACTCCAGGTTTCTTTCAAATTTCGGACGCTTATGTCGCCAAGGCTCACCAGGACAATATAGGTCTTTCGGTTTATGACAAAAGCCACTGTTTCGGTTTCCAGCTTGGGCCATAGTGCTTCTTAGAGGAAGAAAAGGTTGTGTTTTTGTAACAGGGAAAGCTGCGAACCATTGAGATTTTAATAAAGGGCGAAGAGGGGCGGGCCGTTATTGAAGCCTCCATATTACACCCTTTACAACTTCCCAGCACAGCCGCGGGGTAGGCTGATGAATAGGATGAATACGAGCTTCCTAGCAGCTACTTCCGGGAGTTTATTGATTTTAAGGTTTCGACATTTATCGAAGAAACACTTGTCCGCAACATTAGTCGTGGGACAAATTTGTATTGCCAATGGCAATGGCTTTGACGCTAAACCTGGTTGAAGAATTGTTACTTGATACAAGTTCGTTCTTTCGAAGCCAGCACGGGCGTTTACACCCACGTATTATTATTATACTTTTAATAATAAAAAAAAACACGGCAAAATTGAGAAATCCTCTGACCGACTTCTTTCCCTCTCTCCTCTACTTCTGGTTGTTTAAGATTTTTTCAGTCTGGGGCGTTTTAACAAAATGGTAAATTACACCAGCTCGCCTGCGCCCTCGTCTTTGCAAAATTGAGCTCCGAATTTCGGAAAATTGGGAATCGAACGATAAATTAGAATAAATTCCGAATTTTCGGTAAAAAGGAAACTCCGAAAAACAGCCTCCGAATTTGGCGAAAAATAAACTCCGAAATCACGGAATCCTAAATATGTCTTATGATTATTTCATATGATATTATGGATATATTCATATGATATCATGAATATATTCATATGATATTATGAATATGTGTGGTAGAGGTGCCTACGTTTTCTGGTTTCTTCAAGATGGAGTAACTACGTAGAAACGTGCAGAGCACTGCACGTTTCTGTCGGCACACTTTCGCCGACCAAAAAAAGAAAGAAAATGTCTGCCGAGCACAGACCATGCGAATCGAATGCATTACTCGACCAACGTTCAATGGATCCTGGTCACCCGAGGATTTGCAATAAGGGAGAGCGGGCCATAATGGAGCTCTAGGCATAAGAGCAGCCTGTGTCGCAACATGATGCAACCCATTGCCGTTGCAAAAGCGTCTTGCAGACTGACCTTCGAGCAACCCTGCCAACAGAGCCTGTTTTTTATCCTCGGCCAATAAATGTCCCGGTTGTGCTATATGCAACCACTTGGACGAAGCAAAAACCACTAATTCTCACCCCGAACCCTCGAGCAAGACACGGATACAGGACTGCTTTCCTACCTTATGGGATAGCATTCCAGTTAATTACATTTGTGCATATTAATTTCTTTTATTTTTTCGTATTCATTGTGTTACATTAAGCATGTTTTAGGGGAGAAAAGAATTGAATAATGTAGAGCATAATGTGTGATTCTTCTAAACGAACTAATGCCTTTCGAATTGTATGGCCCTTCCGTCTTGTTAATGTTCCACTAACCATCCTTGGTTCTCGTCTCATTTTTCGAACAGTTATCTACTGCGTGCCTATTTATTTAATTAGAGTAAACGATAGTACCTCCGGGCAGACCGTAGGACACTTCACAGCACTCGGAACACACGGTAAACACCCCGTTCAAAAATTACCGGCTTGAAACTATGCACAAACACTCATGAAAACATAAGCGTCCTCACCTCTCGCTTTCTATTAAATAAATGGAAGACACCACGACACACATAACAATAATAGAAATCGCGACAGAAGTTAATGCTGCCAACTAATTCTGCGGCCAGAAAACATCGCGAACAAAACACCCATTTGGCAATGTTTACAATCCCGGGCACACACGCGCACGGCCGCTCTCTCTTCACGCACAAAAGCAAAACAGACGCCAAGATAAAAGATATTGCAAAATCCGAGTTCCACGAGTGAAGTCACTCGCTTTCGCCAGATTACCGAGGCGGTGTCGACAGACGATCGCAAACGACGCCGAGCAAAAAAAAAAAAAAAAAGAAAAAAGAAAAAGAGTAGCAGAGGGGTCAGGGCGGGGCACCCCCGTAGGGAGGCGAGGGCACGGCCAAGCAACGACCCCAACAACAGACGACCCCCCGAATGGGTGTGGCTACCCCAGCACACTTCAGTGTGGCTCCCCTCCCTCGTCAGCGAACGGACGAGCGGCCCTGGCAAAAACTAGAACCGGAGACTTGCAACCGGAAACGAGGGGACCTCGTTCCGTCTCCGCTAAGCGTTAGGCCCCCAGTGTCGAGGTCGCCGCTTGTCAAACGAGACCCGCAACGCGCGCGCGCGCGGTTGCAGCTGTCAAACGGAGGCCGGAGTCCCTCCATTAGAGACGGTGCAGACAACAAAAGTGAGGGAGGGAGATAAAAACAACGGGAGAAATGACAAGTTGACGTCACAGGTATCGCCGGTAGAACCTCCCCCTTTTTGCCATTTAAAGAGGTAAACGATAGCCACGGGCTTGTGTCCATCCAATGCGGTCTACGGTGAGGACGCTGAACTGAGAGTGCGCGCGTGCTCGTGCACGCGCGTTGCTGAGGCGCGGGGTGGAGCGGATCGGCGTCGGTAGACGAAAGCCGACGCCCGCAGGCAAGGCGAACGTGCTCGTTTAGCCGCATCGGGACGAAGACGAAGCGAGGGGCCCCTCAAAAGGCGAACTCCTCCACTTGAACGAGGCGGCCGCTCTCATCTCCCTTCGCGTACCTCTATCACAAATGAAGGGGCACTCCTTTCACGGGACGTACAATCACAGATGCACACACGCGAGAGCTCCGACGTCCTCTATGACACTCAGAATCCACGAGAACAAGGCTGACCGACGAAGCACTGCGGTTTGAAGGCGGTTAGGCTTACCGGACTCACGCAGAGGGGAAGGCGAAGCTCTGGGCAGCGCGGACCGCACGATACCGCGTCGGCGTCGTCGAACGGCCGGGGGTTTAAATCCAATAAGGTTCACGGACGGAAGACAACACAGCACAGGGGGGGACGACGAACACACAAGCACGTCGTCGGACGAGCCGTAGACGGGTCCCGAGAAGCGTCGTCGTTTTGTTGTTATCCACCAGCGGGCTATCCACCGACCGACGCCACACAGCAAACTCAGCCTCCGCTTACGGCTACCCCACCAACGCAGCCTACACAGCACACACAACGGTCACGGCACGATCACTTCTCCACCCAGCTCCCCTCTTGAAAAGTGGTGCTCGCCATTGGTTGACCCGAGTATCACGTGACGTGCCGTTCGCGCATGCGCGCGAGGAGATATAGAGGGAGGAAATGAAGGAAGGAAGGCAGGCGCGCGGTGCGCTGCGAGCGCGACTAGTCTGCCTACATTTTAGAGTGTTGCAAACTGCGCGATGGGGTCACGTGGTTTATGAGCCACGTTTGCAATACAATGGCGAGAAGGAGGCGAAAGTGTCCTCTCCGTGTCTCGATCTTCTTCAAGCGTTGCTCCGTGGCTAGTCCCCTTGCCACGGAGCAACGCACGCACGCACGCGCATGAGCAACCGAACTGGGCAGGATGCGCAGGACGCGCAGGAGGTGTCCGCCATTAAATTGCAAACACTCTTTATTGTTTGAGCTGCTTCCTCTCTGAAACCAAGGCTCTCTAAGCGCGATTCGGCGGGAACGAAAGCAGACGACGAAAAAATGGCGACCCCCTGTACGTCACCTATCTGTTACGTCTGCGAGGTCTGCAACGAAGAGGAAGCTATCATAATCGGCCGGCTTTTAGTTTGGAGGCCAAGTGAAACAACGCGAAAGTCGAAACCCCAAGGATCCCAGATGCGCAGATGCTTGTTTTGTTTCGGGGGCCTTTTTGTTTGTATTAGTCCGCCACGACGACTGAGTGCGAGGCGGCGCCTCTGGTGGTCTTCGCAGACTGCGCGGCGCTCCTTTTTCCTTTCGATTGTCTGCTGCAATTTTTGTCGTCTGCTGCGGCGAGGTCAGCTGAACACGTGCCCGTTTGCCTAGGATCGATGCCGGAGGGAGGCTTTTTTTCGAAGAACGCGGGGCTTTAGTTAAAGGGAAGATGCGTTGGAGCCTCTGACGACTGCGAACGGTCGGCTTCTCGGAAAAAAGTGTTGCAGTGCTCGGGCACGCCAGGCGCTAATGCAAGGCGTTGCGCAAAAACAACGAGTTTTCGTCAAATCCCATGAAATGGCCCTGTCAACACTCTCAATATGCGTCGCTAAGTGTGGATGGCAAGATTGAAGGCTGCCGTCTCGACGTTACACCACCGTACCAGGAAAACACATATGCACCGAATAATTTTCTCTGGAAAAGTGCAGGCAACTGTTTGCGACATGGTTTCTCACTACAAGCAGTAGAGATGTGGTAGTTTCGAAACTTCTAACTCCGCACCACTTCAAATATTTTCGGTTCTCTATAGTCCTGTAAAAATTGTGTGTGAATGAAACCTCGGTCTGCGAACAATTATACCCCCCGTCCCCCCAAAAAAACGAAAAAAACTAAAAAAAAAAGCAAACATGTTCTTATGTTTGTTGACTCCGTGTTTAATTATTTCCTGTATATTGTTTCATATGCACAAACGCTAAAGTTTGCTGAAAGCGTTCAAGCCGTCTCCTCTTTTCTCAAGCATGTTGTACTTTTGGAATACCCAGTTATAATTGGAACCAAGTAAAGCCCGCGACATTTCTCTGCAGTCGACATCACAATTTGCTTTTTATATCAGTATTTTTGAACATGAAGAAAAAATCATAGGCTATGTTCAAATTATATCCATGTTTTACGCGCTTTGAGAAGACTATATATATTCAAATACTCACTACGCATGCCCCTTTTAATAATTTTTACTAAGCCGACACATATTACGTTAGCTCTAAAAGTTAGATCCAAATGCAAAAAATCAAAAATCGCAAAAAAAAAAAATTGCTTCTGTAATTTTTTTTGAACGGCTTGTGGTGCTTTTGTTGCTTCCCCGGAAAATAAGAAAGATTGTGTCGCTTGTTCTCGTTTTTTTCTTCTTCTAGGTCTAAAATTGTTTTATTAAAATTGTTAGAATGGGTTAATACTTAACCAACACAGGCGGTAGAATTCAATTTTTTTTCTCATTTCTGTTTTTCAGCACTAGCTATAACAATATTATACAATACAAGAAATCAGTATTTGTTTTCCCCCACATTTTACAACTTATCCACGCTGCGTCGTACACAGTCGATGCAAAAACTCTGCAACATTTTTTTAAGGATATTTAGTCGTTTTTCGTTTAGCCAAAAGAAAATCTAAAATTACACATGCCATGTCAAAACAATTTTTTTTTATGGATTTTTTTGTAAACTTGTTGTTGAGACGTTTAATTAAGTTGAAAATGAAATGAGCCGTCATCTTGCTTGACTATAAACATCGGAGACGTTTTTTGCGGGTGGCGCAGTAGGTGGCGCCATCTGGTCGTTGTGGTGGAAACTAGCCGTGTCTCTCGCTGCGAACCGTTTCATTCAGCGCAGAACTGCGAGGATCATGGGTTCTATCTTCACTCCTGCCCGTTTTGATATGGATGAACATCGTACCGGAGTCCGGTCGTGTACCACTGCTGGATGTTGTTGTTGTTGTAATGATTAAACGGGAAAAAAGGAAATGCCCGTGCGCAAATGTTATCCGCCCATTACGCGGGAATGACTCGCACGAGCAGGGGAGACGGAATAGAAGAAGTGAAAGGGTAACCGGAAGACAATTTTGAACGTGACGGCAAACCAAGAAGTTGGAATAGATAACTGCTGATGTTGGGGGTAGGGTGTTGCCTAAAACCACGTTGTTTGAGGGGAAGCTCAAGATGTGCAAAGCGTGGTGAACTATACGCGGATATAGAAGTATTAAGACACGAAGTGCCACACTCAGTGGCGTAAATCGGGGGGGGGGGGGGGGGGGGGACGCCCTTCTGCAAGTGCCTCTCTCCCCCCCCCCCCCCCCCCCCCCCCCCCCCCATTTTCCCGAGATTTTGCATTCAAACAGCCTTTATTTTGACCTGGTTCAAACTTAATGTCAACAAGCGCCGTTCCGAAATCCTCAACTCGATCGAAGTTCCAGCTCCTAAGAAACACAACAAAAAACAATAGCATCCCTTTGATCGGTTCCACAGCCACGAGGTTATGAAAAATAAGCGATAATGCACGCGACTCAAAATGCCTCGTCGCCTTCTTTGTGTCTTTCAAAAAGGGAGGCGACGTATCTACGTCCAGTTTCTGGCCTTGGAAAAAGCCCCGCGAGCTTTGGGTGCCATTTGAGTTCTTACCGGTCGGCCTCCCTTTTTTGTCGGCTTTTCTCCCCACTTTTCTGTGCTCGAAGTCGCCTATCTTCCTGCTTGAACAATTTCTTTCACCCTCATCGATCGTTTGGCACCTGCACGCATCCACGAAAGTGCCGCCAACAATGCATAGTAACCAGCGAAGCAACCTTTTTGGCATATTGTGCCTGTGGCTTTCAACTGGACTCTGAAGATGCCGCAAAAGCGACGAAGTTCGCTGAGCTCCTTCTTTCTGCTAAGCTCCAAGTGAGCTACTTCGGAAGATGCCACAAAAGACATTGTTAAGATAAGCTTTTTCTAGTTTGTTCTTCGGGTGACACCGGTGCAACACACAGGGCAGCTAAGCGGATGCCGACTTCACAATATGGTTCTTAATATTTGCAAGCCCAATCGGCTTGCACCTATTAAGTTGTAACATGGGTGAATAACCGCCACAAAATTATGAAAAGCTAACAAAAATCTGCGAACTAACTTTTAAATAAATGGTTCTGTGGGCTACGTTGCCATTTCCACGGAGCCAGTATTAAGGGCTAACCCACTTTATAGGTGCTATTCACATGACGTCACATCCCAAGGGGCGCTAGCATCAGCTGCCCCGGGAGCCATGTTTGCGGTCTTGTTTCCACCCGCGTAGCGTGTTGCCTGCCGTCTGCCCGCGGCTTGATTTGACTAAGTTTTTTTCATTTATTGGGTTTCTTTAGCAGTATTCAGTGCTATTTTTCTAGCTTGGCACAGCGAGTCATCTTCTGTTATGTGTTTTGCCGTTAGAGCGCCTATTTCGTTACGGATGTTCGGCTAGCTGTGCGCTCCGTGTCGCGTACTTGCCCTGCTTCAAGATGCGACCACAGTGTTGATGTGGGTAAGTAAATATGTGGCTCAACATTTTGGGTGCGAAAGTAATCGCTATTTGTATTAAGTAAAGCGGTGCCGTGGCACGACCCAGCACGACCGCAACGTGCTTGGTAAAAGTGGGGGATGGTTCTCGAGCGCCGAGCAAGGGTTACGTCGAACGCAACGCTAGACTCTTCGTAAATAGTTTCTTATTAATTGTTAGTTCGTGGCAGCAAGCGGTTCCGGAACGAGTTTACTGACATTATTTATTTATTTATTTATTTATTTATTTCGGGTTACCCCGCAGCGCCCGAAGGCATTATTGCAGGGGGGGGGGGGGGGGGGGTACATAGTTGTGAGGGTAGAAATACACACGTGCATATGTACCAAAAAACAAGAAATAACGCAAGTTCACAGGAAAACACACTCAATCAAAAGCAAGCCCAGAATATGATAAAAGAAACATCGGTGACTCGCATTCCATGTACGTGCCAGATAAAAGAATGAACTGAGGAAAATATGTGCTAACAGCGAAATTAAATAACTCACTTGGCGCATGACACACACAGAAAAAAAAAACAGCACAGATGTAGTTTTATCAAACTTCGTTCAAAGAATAATAAAGTAATCGAAGTAGGAATAAATAAACATACAACAGTATCGCGCACAGTAATCACTCGAAATTCACATCGCGAGGATCAAAACATTTTCCTAGTCATGTTAGTCTGGCCAGCTGTCACGTGACAGTCTGTCAAAGAAAAGTGAGTTTGACAAGGTAGAAACGGTGTCATTTGGCAGGGCGTTCCACTCTTTAATAGTGTTGGGAAAAAATGAATATTTCAGAACGTTGGTTCGGGCTGTCCATTGCCTAATTTTTTCCGAGTGGTCTAATCTCATAGACACGAAGTTGGGGGGTTGAATAAACTTAGCTTTATTAATCCCGGTTTGATCATGGTAAATTGCGTGAAGAAACTTCAAACGAAGACGTCTTCTTCTGGAGGAAAGCGGCTCCCACTCTAATTGCCTTTTAAGAGCGGTAGCACTTTCTCTGTAATTGTAGTTTCTTGTGACAAATCGCGCAGCCCT